GTGCTGAGGGAGCGCCGCACTGTCGGAGGTCAGTGCTGAGGGAGTGCTGCACACACACACACCCCCAGCTCTGACTGACTTCACAGGGATCCGCGCTGTTTAAAATAACTCACCAAGTACCAGGTCAGTGCTCAAATCTTCACTGCTGCTGTGTTCGAATCCTGGGTGTCTGGGAACTCTGAACGAAGGATCAGCCAGAAATCGGGATTTACCTGTTTTATCGCATTGTCCTGCGTTCATGAGCTGGTGGTGAATTGTTCCCCTGGCCTGGGGGCCTCTGGGTTTGCTGTCAGTTTGTCTGTCCTCACTCAGCAGAAAGAGAGAGAGAGAAATGAACCAGCGGTGGAACATGACTGGGCATGTTTTATCTCTTAGTTGCAGCCACAGAGACTCCACCCACTGTAATAACCAGGCTTTAAAAAGCTGGCTCTGCAGCTCTTCTCCCTGTGTGCCTTTGTCTGACGGAGCTCAAAGCTGCGATTTCTCTCCTTTGCGTGACTATGCTGTCGCCTGGCGCTGTTCTCCTGCTGCCAGTGGTCAGCCGTGAGCCTGGCGACGGTCCAGGCCATTCCGCGATTCCCGATGTGCAGCACCGCCGCGGGGAGACGACCCAGAGCGAACACCAGATCCTCCCTCTCCCCTGGACGCGGGTCAGTCAGGTTCACCACGCAACACTGACTCCCCAACTCCCTCAGCGCTGACCCTCTGACAGTGCGGCGCTCCCTCAGTGCTGACCCTCCAACAGTGCGGCGCTCCCTCAGCGCTGACCCTCCGACAGTGCGGCACTCCCTCAGCGCTGACCCTCCGACAGTGCCCACTCCCTCAACACTGACCCTCCGACAGTGCGGCGCTCCCTCAGCACTCAGCCTCCGACAGTGCGGCGCTCCCTCAGCGCTGACCCTCTGACAGTGCCCCACTTCCTCAGCGCTGACCCTCTGAGAATGCCCGCTCCCCTAGCCCTGACCCTCCAACATTGTGGCGCTCGCTACACCAGGAGTGGTGGAGCCTGGCTTTGTGTTTGAACTGTGGCAGGGGTTTTGAACACGGGACTTTGTGGCTTCAGGCGCGGGTGAGTGAAGACCTACCCCGGACTATTTGAGGTGCTTGGGGGCGCACGGACGAAGATTTGAGTCAGACGGAAGTGAATTTGGAAATTGACGGTGTCGGAGGCTGTGACTTTTTGTGGGTTTGAGCGAAGCCAAATTGGATTGACTTGTCATTGACTGTGTCTCCTCTGTCTCTCCCTTCTCCCCCTCTCTGTCCCTGCAGTACTCCACCATCCTGAACAAACTCTTCTGCCAGCTGGCCAAGACGTGCCCAGTCCAGGTCCGAGTGGCGTCAGTTCCACCCCCGGGCACCCTGCTCCGTGCCACTGCCGTTTACAAGAAGCCAGAGCACGTGGCCGAGGTGGTGAGGAGATGCCCGCATCACGAACGCAGCTCGGAGAACGATGACGGTGAGAATTTAGACCTTTCTCGGTAATGGGCATCAGGCCTCTCCGCCCCTCGGGGGTGTAGGGGGGAGTGGGGAAGACAGTGGTCTCCTGATGAAATTGGGGGGTCTCTTTGGCCGCTGCAGACCGCCCTGCGGGAACCTCTCAGTTCCTTCGGGTGGTGAGAGAGTGTGTGTGTTGTTGGTAAACGGTATTTTGAGCAACTGCGTGCGCACGGGGTGGTGAGCGTGAGGCGTCTCACTTGGCTGTTTCACGAGGCAGCTAAGAGTTAACCAGTTCTGAAGAAGAGACCCGACCCCAAATGTCAGCTTTCCTGCTCCCCCTGATGCTGCCTGGCCTGCTGTGTTCCTACTGCACGTTATCTCAGACTCCTGCGTTGGCAGTTCCTACTATCCCTAAGAGTTAGCCATGTCGGGCTGAGAGTCTGGAGACGTATGTATGATAAGAACAGCGGATCTCCCCTCCCTGAAGGACGCGTGTGAACCAGCTGGGTTTATCACAACGATCTGGTTAATTGGGCTACATCTCGTCCATTTTCGCAGAAATAATTGCTCCTTTTTCTGGAGATTTGAAGGGCCCTGTTTTGTTCCTGCTCGGTGAAATTTTCATTTTCCTCCGAACGGTGAGAAAGGGTTATTTGTTCGAGGACTGGCAGCCCACGTGCAAGCGGAAACTGCTGGGAGTCTGGTCTAGTGGCGCAGGGGCAGGGATCTCCCACAATCCATCACAAACAGACAACCAGAGAAAGGAGTGATTTGGTTGGGGTCCATCTGAGGCAATCATTTCGCATCCCCCCCAACCCCCTCCCTCACCAGGAGCTGGAGTCACAGGAGCACAGCAAGAGGCCATTCGCGCTCTCCTTCCAACTCATGCCAGCCCTCTTTGTCAAGTTAGACTGCTATCAGGGGCAGTTGGGAGAGGGTTGGAGGTGGGGTGGCACAAAGCTGGCATGCCGACTGAGTCCCGAGTGCCTCGGGTCTGTTTCAATATCCTCAGGCCCTGCCCCTCCGAGCCACCTGATCCGAGTGGAGGCCAGCAGCCAGGCACACTACGTGGAGGACAAGGACACCAAGCGGCAGAGCGTCATCGTACCCTACGAGGCCCCGCAGGTAAGCGGAGAGTGAGCCGTCCTCCCGAGTGCCAGCTCCAAACCCCGGGGGAAGGACCCGCCAGCTCCGGTTGGCGACAGTGATGCCAACGTGGGCCTTCGCCCCGAGGGGTTGGGAGGGGGGAGAGTTGTGGGGGGAGTGCCCTGCGACCAGAGGCTGGGCAAACTGGGCCGATGTTTGCTCTCGAACTCCGACTTGCTCCATCAAAGCCGTGCGTCCCGCTCTGTCTCAGGGACTGGGCTGATCTTCCGGGGAATTGGATCAGGAGAAATGTCCTCACTCGGGGTGGGAGTGTGCGGCGGCTGCACGTCTCCCCACCCCCCTCACCC